AGAACCTGGAACCCTCCATCAATCATCTGACGGTTCAGATTCTTAAGCGACTTGCCCCTATAATTGTGAAGTTAGTTATTTTTCGGTCGATGATTGATGCAGGATCTCTCGTTCTCCAACTTTTTGGATTTTCTTATCAACCCATCCTATGTATACATAGGAGGTCATTCAAGAGAGAACCAATAATTTATGATAACTTAGGGGGCCGTTTACCAAACATTTACTCGGTAAACGCTTACTGGTAAAATTTAACTATATCATAAACTTACTGTCATATGCAACAATTTACCCGGTAAGCACTTACCGTGGTAAAAGTCGTCACCGAGTATGACTCTTTGTCCTTGTCTCGCTCGCTCTTATTAAGTAAGATTTTTTGTCTTTGCCATATTCACGGTGACTTGGTGTTCACTTACCCGATCTCAACCTCAAATTATTAATAAGCAATGGTTAATATTGAATACTTCTAACGTGAAATTTATTCACTGTCGTAGCCAAGAACTTACTTCTAAACCATACGACACAAACCCATGAGAGCCTCTCTCTTGAATACTTCTAACATGAAATTGAATATATTGTTATACCACTATGATACCCAATAACTTGAACACAAAGCTCTAAGTCTAAATCATAACCCTAATCTAAACAAAAAAAGTAAACATTAAGATCAATATTTTACTAAAAAAAGCAGATATCAGATCTCCTTTATAAGGGGCCTGATTGTGAGCAAAGTAAGCAACAAAAGCCGTCAGATGGGAGAAAGCAGCACCAGCACCGAGGGTTTTGCGACACGGCTGTCCCAAAATTCAATCGTCATTACGATCATTGGGCTATACTGGTAGAAAACTTCATTCGTTGAATACGGGGATCTTATTGAGAACGGCACCCGTAATCCCGCATCACCAACGTATCCCTATCGCCTGCTCGTCAACGTTAACGAAAGATACAGAGGGATTAGTGCTTTTGTGCCTCATGATCATCGATGGAAGGTATGGGGAAGGAAGCTTGGGAAGAGAGTGATGGGAAGCGTATATGAAAGAATGGGAGAGGTTAGTTTCATAAGATAATCCGTAAACCCTAGGAATAAATTGATGAAAATAAATAATGAGTTGTCATTAAATTAACAAATTACAAACATACACTTTTATCTATAATTAAAAATAATTGTTTATACATAAAATATTATTTATTGACTTAAACTTTAACATTTCAAGTAAATTATAATAACTTATTAAAGTTTTAATCTTAAATTCGTATAATTAACTGTAAATAAACATCCCATTTTAAAAATAAAAAATTAAATATAATTAAAATAATCATTAAGTTTTTAACAGAATATTAAATTATTATCTTTATAAAATTTATATTATTAAACAAAATTAAATTACTTTGTTATTAAATCTAAATAAAATTTAAAGAAATTATATGAAAAAACAAAAACTTTTAAATAATTAATTTAATATTAATATCGATATTTTTTTTCTCAAATTTATAAATCATCCAAAAGTAAAATATTATTGATTTCTAATTACCATAATAAAATGAAATTTTATAATTGAGATATCTCGATCTATTGTACGAGTATCCTTTTAGTTATTAATTTAAAAAATGTTAAATAACGGACTCATATTAAATTTCACGGCTATCACAAATTACTGAGTTTTTATTTAATTAGACTCTTGACTCTTATATATACAGACCTTCATTTGAGAACACATAAACTATGATAACCTTAAGAACCAATGCATTATATGCTATTTTTCATATAAGATTTAAATTTAGTGTATTGATTAAGATATATATGTTTCAGAATGGTTTGTTTTATGCAAATCTGTTCCGCAACGTGAATCGAATACATATGAAATAAACACATTATAAAATAAATATATGTTAATCAATATATTAATATCTAGTTTGTAATGAAAAAAAAAATTATGTAAAATAATATATTATGGTAATAATCTTTCACATTTATCATAATTTTGAGGTTATCAAGTAACTACGCCTATGAGAAAATAATTGAAGAAAAAGCAATTGCAATCATATTTCACTTTTTTTGACCTTCAATTCCAAAATCTTGCTTTGGTTTGTATGAATCTCGCGTCGCAACACAACGCTTGGCTCCGCACCTTCGTCCCTTCGGTCGACGCGCTTCCTTCTTCTTCATCAACCCACTTCAGGTTGTTCTCATACATACCCTCATACCCATATTTTTAATATATATATTTACACACCACCACCACATACTCTCTCTATCTGTCTCCAATCTTGCTCATGCAAAGAATCTTGCCTCCCTCAATTCACTTCAACCATCGATCTTTTCTAACATAATTCAAACAAGAAACCCAATTCCAGGGTTGCAAGATTTCGAGGATCTGTTACCTGTAAACTCTCCAGTTTTTTTCCATTCCCAATTCGGAAAGCGGGACCCAATGCTATATTGATTTGTTTTGAGAGGGAGAGAACAGACGAAGGCGTAAGAAATGGATTGATGTGAAGGGGGTTCGTGTCGTCTTTTATTGTTGGTTTACTAGGGTTAAGTGATCGTTGCTGGTTTTCAATTTGAGATCTGGATGATAGATTCTGAATTCAGAGGTTGATAAAGAAATTGATTTAGAAATAATGGATATGGATTATAATGGGGATGTGGGTTTTCTTGACCCTGAATTGTTACAACTGAATGAAGTGTCTCCTTTGGCTATTAAGTCAAATCCTTATGTTGCCGAGAAGCTGTTCGAGCAATGGCTTTCGCTTCCCGAAAGCACTCTTTTGGTAATAATATGACTCATCTTCTTATTATCGTGCTCCATTATTTATGTTATTATCGTTTATTAGTTGTTATGTGGGTTTCTATGAGATATAGCTAGAATGAGTGAAAAACTGGTGGTTGATAAATTCGGAATTTGATGCCCTTCTTTTCTGTAGTTTTTCTTGGTAACTCCATTTTACCTTTATGTGACAATTGTGGTGTTTGGCATGGTTCGACATACAGGAAAAGTAAGCATCACGTTAATGACATATTAGTCGACTTCATGACAATGTGAGTCAAATTTGGAAACTGTGAAAGTTTCCTAGGAGATGCCTTTTAACAGGGATAAATGGTATAAGATCCTTTCATGTAACTGGGAATCTCACAGATACAAGTACCTGTTTGGCCATCCAGGTAGAGTCTGAGAGATATCGTTGCTTTGGCTCTTTGTAGTAGTTGCTGAAAACAGTTTAGTTTATTGTGTTGACAACATCTAATGACTTGAGTAGGCAGTACATTTATCCTTTTCATAAAATGCATAGAGTATTTGGAAACCATGATGTACCTGATCTGGGAAAAGGCTTATATGCATTAAATGTCGGTTGACATTTATAGACACAAATCTATATGAAACAGGAGGTTGAAGAGAGGACAATAGCATCATAAATGGTCATACTTGAATTATATGAAGTCAATCGATGAACCAATAGGAAAATAACATCTAATTAGTTAGAAGATACAAATTTATGTTGTCGATTTGGAGTTGTCACTTGCCAATCATGGTGCTAAAATCACATGTCTTGTCAAGGGTGGAATGCTTAGGATCTCCACTGCAATTCATTATACACCAAGTCGCTTGACAGTAGCTGGGGACTCATGTTGTTTAGACGAGACCCTTTCAATTAAAATTAACTCTTAAATTTTAATATTGAAAATCCATTTGCAGTTTTAATATCATATGCTGTTTACTTTTCAATCTTATGCACAATGTGAATCTTTTTGTAATATGGATGGCAAGAAACTGTAGCATATAGAGGTATCTTATGTAGGTATCATGGATTTTACTTAAGAATACTTATGGCTGATACATACAAGATATTTTTCTAGCCATCTTGCTATAGTAGTGCACCCTAAAGGTATAATCCTTCATATTGCTGTATTTGTGGCTTAGGAATGTAATTGTAGTTGATGCCATAGGATTGTATATTGTAATCACAATTAATGAGATCTTTCGACTTCTTGAAATACATTATGGTTTTGGTGTCCAAAATTCACTTTCAATTAGGTTGATATCGGTGTTTGTTGGTTTATCAAATATATATTTATACCATTTCAAAGGAAGGATGTTTATACAGAACTTGATTGGATGTCTATACTTTTTAGTTGTATCTTTGCATTGATTTTGAGCTGGGATTGATCATGTTGAATTTGAAAGTATTTCTGTTATTTTTTGATATAAAATCAACCTTGTTTTACTAAGATGTGCCTCTTTAAGCATCCATACACTGTCTTTTTCTTCCTCCCCGTTCTGGATGTGTTTTCCATCTGAGAGTATGTGTCGACCATGACAGTTGTCTGTCACTTCTCATATGTAAAGATTAGTTATAGAACACATTAAATATTTGATTACTTCTATTGAATAAAACATCCTGTATAAGGTTTAACCAATCCCCAAACTTCTCATCAAAAACATTTTTAAAGATATTTGATTCAAGTATTCCTGCCCTTAAATACATATTTCATTGGATTTTTCTCGCCTCTTTTTCTTGATGTATCATAATGTGCTTGTGGTCTTGTGGATTTTCCACGGTTGTAAAAAGACTTGGAGAATTTCATCTTAAAATTATTCAGATTTAGAAATTTGATGTGTATCCATCACCTGAAATGCCATAGAGAATTGCTACCACATTGGCCAAATGCTTGCCCATATAAAGTATTGAGAAAGACCTTGAAGAAGTCATGGTTAGAAAAGGTAAACAAATTGATGTAAGGTTAAACCTGTCCAACAAAGTTACCACTTGGGCCACACACGTATTCATCACAAAGCACCAGGATCTTTAGATTAGAAGTCTACTTACATTTACTATTCAAATAAATGAAATTTGATTTTTGGACTTAACAGTTTGTTTTTTAAAGCTGACTAAACTGCCATGTCAACAAACTTTACTCCTTTCTTTTCTTTGGCTTCTTCAATGGTGCAATAGTGACCTCCAAATCAGGGTCATCATGAAAATAACAGTTTCAAACAAACACGTAGCTTGTAGCCAATTAAGTTATGCTAGGAACAAGAGGCCAGCCCTTGTGAGTGTATCAACTTACTTGCCTTCTCTTTGTTATTTTACAATTTAAACACCCTCTTTCTCTTGTTCTCTCCCATCAACAACTTGTTTGTACTTTCCTTCTTGAAATGCTTTCTATTTTGTATTGCTGAAAAATAGAACACCTTTAGCAAGTCAGAAGGCCCCCCATATTAGAAAGGGTTGTTTATGTCCCATGAAATACTGTAACCTGGTCGGCGTTATGCTGCACAGATTTTCATTCATCTTGCTTCTAGTCGTTTTAGTTTGTTCAACAATTGGGTACAAACTGTTCATGGTATTCTCTGTCTGGCTATAGGTGAAATCTTTGTTTAACAATGCTAAAGCGGGTGTTCCATTGAATGTCTCCGGATCAGTTTCCAGCCCAAAGGCTTCTTCCAGCAATTCRGCACCTTCCATGTTTCCTGCTGGTAGCGCGCCTCCACTTTCGCCAAGAAGTTCATCTGGTTCTCCACGTATCACAAAACAAAGGGCAGSCCCATCTGTTMTAGGTTCTCCTTTAAAAGTGYTGAGTGAGCCAGTGAAAGAGTTAATACCTCAKGTTTGCAGCAGAAAACAACCTAGTTGAAATAAGATTGTGTTTGTCTATGCTAAGAAGCACTTCAGTTGTGGTTGTACTACCACTCTGTTGCTTATAGCTTGAGTAATGGTTTCTTTAATGCTCTAGTTTAACTGAAGCATGTGCAATGCTTGCAGTTTTACTTTCAGAATGGTCRTCCACCCCCTAATGAACTAAAAGAACGATGCTTGTTTAGAAGTAACCAGTTTTTCTATGGTCATGCGGATGGACTACAATTGCATGGTGAGACGCCTCTCGATTGCATTTATGCATTTGGTAGACTATGAATGGCCACTCTGATTCTTTAGCTGAAATTTGTGGGATATTTGTAGCTTAACCGTGCTAATTTTCAATTGTATGTGTAGAATTCAAGCCACTTACGAAGGAAATTTGCAAACTGCCATCGTTCTTCTCCACTGCGCTTTTTAAAAAGATAGATGTTGACGGCACTGGCATTGTGACCAGGTACCCTTTTACCTAAGTTGTGAATGGTTTATCGGAATTTCCGAAAAACACATCTTACTAGTTTGGATATTCAATATCCATAGTGGTGAATATAAAATCCAAGTTTTGTTGTGCTTTCATGCAGCGACATCGATGGACCACCTTTTACTGCATCTAACGTATCCTTCCTTCCCCCTTCCCCTTCAGTAGTATATAATGGTCTCTTTCTGAACAAGTGTACATGCATAATCACATATATGTCTGGTTATGGTGTACGAGTTTCTGTGTAGATATCAATAAAGAAATCACGACTTCACCTCCCCTCTGATATCATTTCCTTTCCACTTATTTCTAAATCTGTTTTGCCTTCTTGGAGTTAGTTAATTTCTACTTTCTGACCTTTATGCCCCTGTCCTGTCTTCATTAATTGCCTCTACTAATTGAGTCAAGACTCAAAACTGTTGGCAGATATCTAGAATTTCTAAACTGTTGGCACTAGAAGCTTAATATTGATATGTTACCGTTAGGTTCATACTTTGGTGGTAGCTCCCCAATTGTTGCACGCTCTTTTTTTTTTTGCTTAAAACATAAGGAACTGTAAACAGAAAACATGAAGCAAAAAAAGTCCTCTACACAGTTTGGGTTTTATATAATCATTTAAGTTATCAACTCTTTCAGACAGTTATATCAACTTCGACACGAATATTTGGTAGAGCATTACATGGGCCCTTGTAATTTTTTATTGTTGCCCATGGTTATGAGTTCACTATGCTCTTTCATGACTGGCAGTTGGATTACAACACACGTCAGGAGTAGTAGATGCAAATGAATGATCTTCATGTCCAAATAAGTGTACATATGTAAAAGGCATAACGATTGTATGACTTCCAAAGTGCAGACTCTTTTGCTTGATGTAGTAAGGTGGTTAGTACTTAGTAGCAACATAAAGAAGGGAGCATCTTCAGTATTTGTGTTCTATAGCTCCATGCTTATTCACTAACAAGTGTTTTTTTGTGTGTGGTAGATATACTAAGGGCCTGTTTACCAACTTTTCCATTAAGTTCTGTATGGATAAATTTGTTTGTCTAGATAAAATTTGTTGTTGTTTACTTTTTTACCATGAAACAATCGTCTAAATGACAATAATGACCGATCTACCCCTCAAACATGTTTGAACTTTACAGCAGTTCAATCAAACTCAAACCAAAAAATCTATTGTTCATCAAACCAAAAAGCTACCAATCTCATCAAACCAAAAAGCTACCAATCTATCAAACTATTTGAACATTAAAACATAATAATCAAACATTTGAACATCAAATTATCAAAACATAATAATCAAACCATTTAAACATAAAAAAAAGCTACTGCTACAAGAATCGAATCAAAATCAAAACAAAAGGCTGTTTATTCATCAAACCAGGAAAACTATTGTTCTTCAAACCAAAACCTAAAAGTACCCAAAATAATCCACACAAACACAACAGTAGCTTAGAATCGATTCCTGAAACTTGTTATATTTGCTTATGGCTCTTCGATCGAAGCTTGTTCTTGTCATCGACGGTGCAATGGGGGAGGAACAGAGTAAAGTCGACAGTCGTAGGGCAGCAACAACGGAGGAGAAGTCGAGCAGCAGCGACGAAGAAGGAGCAGGGACGGAGGAGGTGCAGCAGCAACGACGGGGAAGGAGAACTTTTTCTTTGTGGCTAGGGTTTGAACTTTGAAGGGAAGCGCTGGAAGGAGGAATCGACCTTAAAAATTGGTACATGTGTTGATGAAAACCGAAGGAAGAAGGTCGTCGGCCGGAGAAAAGTTGCCGGAGAAGAGGTGTAGTGATGGGGAGAAGTAGAGAAAGGTTGCCAGAGAAGAGGCGTAGCACCGTTCTAGAAGCGATTTGGCTAGGGTTTGAAGTGAAATGAAAGGGGGGTGGAATTGAAGGGGGAGGCGTGGGATTGAGGGGGTATAATTGTCAATATTTTGGCTTAATGGGGACAACACACCCCTTCCATACTGTGCGAATAATCCCATATATTTATCATTAAGCCGCAAGTAAACATCCATATATGGCTGTGCGAATAAGCCAAAACAGCCATTAAGCTGATTAAGTCAAAAGTAAACACCCCCTAACTTTTTTGAAAAGAGAAATGAGAAATCAACTTGCATGTTGATTTGATGCCAAATTCCTATCCAGTTTTGGACATTTGATAAACCAGAAATATCCCTTGTGGTGTGTGGTCTACCTGTTGAGGCAGCCTTCTGTCAAACAATTATCACTCACTTTCCTAATATTAGGCTTGAACACAATTTATCTACAAGGCAGAGGCGGTTCCTTCGTTAATGATAAGCCTGTGAGCTGTCGACAAAGAAGACTCGGTGGTTGCCTCTCTGTTTTATCCTCATTCTTCCTAAACCTATGTATATAGATGGACAAATTACAGTTTGTGTCCATAAGGTTGTTGACAATAGAAAAATTGCAGATGATTGCAATTCTTTTAATTGTTATATGCTAAGTGGCACAAGTCAGATGCATCTAATCTTGTGTTGTCATTTAGTAACCTTTTCAACAGACACATGGCCCTAGAGGCACAAGGAATGTTAAGATGAAGGTTTTAGATGTAAAAGTTGCTGGGCAGATATCTTGTTTTGCATTGTCTTCTTTGGTTTTTCAATATAAGTTCTTCGAAATCCTGTTACAACACTGATGGAATTTGGGAGTATGCTGGTCACTTGAAAACTTTGCTTCTATTTGGTACATGTAAATATTGATGTTCACTGTGTTCTACGCTCCACCTTTGATTATTTTTCTCTCTCTTATGTTTACATGCCATCTTGTAATTACCCTTGTACTGTGTGTAATAGACCCTCCACTCCCTTATGTTTGCTGGGAAAGCAAGCAAAAAGATTGGTTATGCTATTAGGAAATTATATTTGTATTCTCTGAGAGGCTGTTAGCAAACAAAAATTGGGTTGGCTTACCAATTATAGAACTTTCTTTGTATAGTCTTATGTTTTTTAAGAACTTATGTTTTATAACTACTATTTTTGTCAGTATCCTGTATTCTATTTTCTTAAGTTCCTCTAACATGCCTGCAGGGAAGCGTTTGTTGATTACTGGGTCAATGGGAATATGTTAATAAAAGATACTGCCACCCAGATATATACCATATTGAAGCAGCCTGATTTGAGATATCTAACTCAGGTATTTCTTATTTGTTTGTTACCATTTTCAGCAAAATGGCCGCAATAATAGAATAATTCCTTGCAAAAAGAAAAAAAGATACTACATTGTTCCCATGTTTCTATACTATCAAATTCAATTCAAACGTGATTTTGTTTTCATTTGATATAGAAAACAATCTGTGGATTATACGTATAGTAAGAGTGTCTTTGATTTCTAAGTTTCTGTTTAAACCAAAAAGTCATAAGATTTACCATAAAATATATTTTTTTATGTCTGTACTCGACTGTAGCTTCCATCCTTTCTTTCACCTGATTGTTTGCTAACTATGCAATAGGAGGACTTCAAACCCATACTCCGTGAACTATTGACAACTCATCCAGGTTTGGAGTTCTTACAGAGCACACCCGAATTTCAGGAGCGATATGGTATGTTCTGTATTTTTGTTATTCTATTTATTGGCGAAAGGGGGAGGGGATGAGCCGAGATGGTATATTCTAAATTATTATTGTTTATTTGTTTGTTTTTAATTTGGGAGTGATTGTCTTTGGACATATCACTTACTTCTCTCTATCTACACAAAGTGTTGTACATTTTGTGTAGTGAATATAGAAAAGGCCTTAAGACCCATATTAAGAATGCCATTGAACTTTGTACAGGATTTGAAAATTATTGTGTATACTTTTTTTAGGAATACTTCAAGATGGATTTCTGCTAGTCTGTATGAAACCAAGAAATTCTTTATTCAGAAATATGTTTAGGCATTAGATGCTTTAGTTCTTATCAACTGGAGTGAAACCTAAGATTTTTGAATGTTAAAGCCTGCTGATTGTCATAAAAATACAGTTTCTGAATCAGAACTTGGAGCTTTTGGGGACAGGGCACTGATTGATATTCACAGAGAGGAGAGCTGTTATTTATTACTATGTCTTTTTTTTTTTTACCCTATTCATTTTTTGGTGCATCTCTTTTCATCTTGTACCTGCTTTTCTTTTACCACTTTCTTTTATGTGTAAGAGCAGAACTTTCTGGGGTTTTACAATGGGATCAAGCCACCTTTATGTTCTGTTGGATATTTAATGCTCAGGAATTGACTCAGACAAAGGAATCTTAGAATTACTTTGCATATCACTAGTGTATCATAGTGCAAAAGTGTATGTCAATATGATATTAGATTAAAATTTCTTAAATGATCAACTCAATGAATATTAGTATGGATTTTTAGGGCAACTGAAGCTGTTATAACGTTGTATTATGTCACTATGTCCGAAGAGAGCACTTTGATATAAGGAGACCTCAATTTACACCTGACACGACCAACCAAAATGAGCTTGCCAAATACAGGCCACCATGGAAGATCCGTGGTTATGCTCAGTTTTTAGAATTTGGAGACAGTAATAGTGAAAGGTCGTTGAAGTGATATCTAAACAAACATGTTTATAGAGGAATCTGTTATTGTAATGAGGTTGTATGTATGTGAACTCCTGGAGTTAAAATAGTGGGTCTTCTTAACTGAATGGCTTTCTCTAAAGCTTATTTGCTGCAATCTTTGTGGTAATGGAGTCCCAGATCTAACGAATTTACTGTAGGGGCCATCATGGTGAACATGAGCCCCTCCTTTAGAATATTTCGTTGTTCATTTTGAATAGCTCACGAATGATGGTGAAGCACTTAAGCTTCAATGTAAATACCATAACCAATTCCCTATGAAAAGGTATTTGTGGCCTAGAATCACTCATCCATCCTCATGTATCAAACTGGTTACTTTGCTCGTTCGCTCCCTCAACAACATGCTTTATTGCCTGATCCTATTTGCTACTTTACATGGATTATAAGGAAGATTAGAGGAGTGAGTAATAAAGGATACACTTCAGTTGTGATCTCAGATCTGTTCTCAAAATGAAGTAGCTCCCTTTACCCATTAATTATATTATCACTGTGTACAAGGCATTATATAGAGGCAAATATTGAACAGCTTAAACAAGTTAGCAGCTGATGCTGCATATGGACCGATAATAAGCTTATACATATTAAAATGGTCTATCTCGATCAACATTTATTCTGTGTACTACCGTTAAAAATTACTCAGAGAAACATGTGTTAGAATATCATATGGACGGTGAATCTGCTTCAAATGCCATTCTCTTGATAAGACAAAGAAACGGACTCAGTGATATTGGATACGTTAAGTGTTCCTATATGGACAACACAACTTTTTTGCTAAATGACTTCTCTCCAGCAAAAGTAAAGAGAGGTGACCATGAACTTAACCTATCTGAAGCTGGAAGGTAAACATCCTTCAGTCTGATCAGAGAAACTGAGAGAAACATGACTGACTTAATAAAATTGTTGCAAACTTGCAACATTGATCTGCAAGTCATCTATTATGCCTTTCCAGATATCCCCTACTCTGCTGTTGACACAACATTGAGTATTTGGTTACCACCAAAGAGAGAGCACCCAGTCTTTACATGTTTTAGTGGAAAGTAGGGGGATAGTTTCATACAATATTTTTACCGTCATATTTCTATTGTTCTACAACTACACAGCCTCAGCTCCGTCTTAATATAATAGTTGTGAATAAAGTTAGTAGCAAAGAAGTAAGAGACTGGTTTGTATCCATGCTGTGTGGTTGTAGAAAGATTTGTTGTTATAAACATGTACCAAGTTGTGTTTCACTTGACACTGTGTCATCAAATTCTGCATTATGTAATTGCCAATCTGCTTGTGATTAGCGATTCAGGTGTATGCTAACATAATTTTCACTTCTTGATGATTCTGCCTTAGGATTTCTCCTTTGAATTTGTTTATCCTAGTCATAATTATGAAAATCTCAAGGAAGATATTTAAGGATTTTATTTTTCACTGACACTCTTTTTTGCCAGATGCAGAATTTTGTTCATTAATCATGTACTTTGTTACAATTTCGTTACTCTCTGTTTTCTTAATTTGTTTTTGTATTACTAATTTTGCACCTCCTACGCCTAGAGAGACTGGAGTTCAGTTTTTTTTCTTCATGACCTTTGGCCTGTGTAATTAATGACCCTGATGTCATTGTCTTAGATATTACTACATGTCTGTTGATTTGTTAATTTATCCTTTGCTCCACGTACTTCTATTATGTTGCTTGCTTTTCTTCAAATGTTGGAGTTCCACCTATAGCTTTCCTGCAGGCATGATATAACATATGCTTCATCATTTAACATTTACCTTTTGCTGTATTGGCAGCTGAAACAGTAATATACAGAATTTTTTACTACGTGAATAGAGCGGGTGATGCTCACCTTACCCTCAGGGAGCTGAAACGTGGAAATTTAATTGCTGCAATGCAGCATGCAGATGAAGAAGAGGATATAAACAAAGTTTTAAGGTAATAGTTTATACATGGTTGGTCATTAAATGATATTTGAGCCCATAATTTGCTGATGCGCCAAATTTAGTGTACAATCTTGTTTCTTTCTTACTAAAATAGGCTTTGGCCACTTTACCTATCACAAAATTCATCTACAATAGTACCTTCTGTAGATGGTTTCACTATACTTTCTCTGTTAGAATGGGTACTACTGGTTTGACCACCGAAATCTTTTTACAAGGTTCATTTACAAGGCTTTTTTTGGAAATGATGATGATGCATAACATAATTGTCAAGTATCCCTTGTTTATTGGAAGAAAGTAAATGATGTACCTTCATGTTCTGTTTCAACGTTCAGTCAAGTTCTCACTATAGCAAGTATTTCTTTTCTTGAATTGGAGAAAGCTATGCATTTTGACTCTGCTTTTAAAATGACTTTTGGTATGTAGATGTCCTATGATGTTTTGTTCTCCAAAATTTTCCATGCTTTTATAATATTGGTCTAAGTTGTTGGTCGGAGATATCTGTTACCTTACTGAGGTTCTAGTTATGATCTAGCCACTGAGTTTGTCCTATACAATTTGCCAGCTGTTCTCTGATCTTTGTTACCAACTTTTTGTAGTTACTTTTCATTGTTACAAGAAACTATTCTGTACTCGTAGTAGCATTTCTTGCCCTTTATGAGTTAGGGGCCGCTTACCAAATGCTTATCCGGGTAAGTGCTTACCAAGTCACATTGCCTTACCGGATGAATATGGAAAGGACCAAGAATCTTACACGATAAGAGCGAAGACAAGGACCGAGAGTTTACCCGGTAAGTGAAGGCGGCGACTCTTACCATGTGTAGCATTTACTGGGTAAATTGTTCCATAGGATGCCGTTTTGGTGGACTAAAAATCTTACCTGGTAAGTAAGTTATAGTGTTACATTTATCGGTAAGCGCTCACTGGGTAAGTGTTTGGTAAACGGCCCCTTAGTTCTCTTCTTAATCAAGTAGCCTCTTCTCCATCCTTTGTCAATATGAGCAACACTAGTTGTGCAAACGCTATCTTTTATTTTTGGATGTCTCAAGAAGCGTTATAGCATAACAAAAAAAAACAAATGCCATCAAACTGAAGGATCTATATATATAGGGTCAGATTTAGGGGAAAACCGCCAAAAAATAAAAAGTTGAGGAACACCCTGATAACTGTTCATCTGGACGGTATGCACAAGTAATTTGTAAGCAATTTGTCAGGAATGCATATGTGCATAACATGCACACGCATAAAAACCAATGAACAACTTCAGTTACTTGTATACACATGTGCATACCTTGCATTTGAATGGTTACTGGGGTGTTCCTCAGTTTTTCATATTTTTTGGGGGTTTTTCCCCGAACCTTTCCCCCCTTTCTATATATATATATATTCTCTCCTTGTCTCATCACATCTTTTACATTTGGTTTTTAAACTGTAATTAACATCGTTTTTCTTCGCAGATATTTCTCTTATGAGCACTTCTACGTAATTTATTGCAAGTTTTGGGAGCTGGACACAGATCATGATTTTTTGATTGATAAAGAGAACCTTATACGATATGGTAATCATGCATTGACATACAGAATTGTTGACAGAATATTTTCCCAGGTTTGTAATATCACTGCCTTCATTTGAATTTTATTCTTTTGTTTTCTATCTGCTGCTTTTGACATTTCGATAATGTCTCAGGTACCAAGAAAGTTCACCAGTAATGTTGAAGGGAAAATGGGATATGAAGATTTTGTTTATTTCATTTTGTCTGAAGAGGATAAATCATCAGAGCCTAGTCTGGAGTACTGGTATGCCTTTCCCTCAGTTCCTAGACCATGATTGATTAAAATTATGGTGGTAACTTAACCCATGTCTGCCTGAAATGTAAAAGGAAGATGACATGGTGGATACAGTTCCATGCTCTCTCCATTGCAAAAAGAATTGCAATGTTTGACTTTGACAGAGTTTAAAAAATGTTTGACTGCTTGTGAAATATCTAAAATGCCCCTTAAAGCCTTAATCATGACCATAAAGAGAAGCTTGATAAAAGTCAAAGTTACTGATATCTATCAAGTACTGACTGCAGTGGGCAAAAAAGTAAATCTAGGTTGAAAATTTATCGAAAAGGTAGTATAAGTTTTATTAAAAAGGAAAGTGTGTTTTTGGACCGAGGGGGCACTTTATTAATGTTCTTTGTCTCCAAAGTCTGCTAAGGATTCACTTTTTGACAGGAGATAGTAACAAAATTCTTGTTGTTTGGACTTGGAAATTCAATGGCTAGAGCTGTGGTAGTTTGTGGAACAACTAAAGATGGTTTGAAATGAATGGAGAAATACTTGATGACATCATAAATGATTGATGAAGAAGTACAGGACACACCCATGGTGAAAAAATAAGCGGTCTAGTTAGGGTGATTGTCAAGATTTGTACACAGTCAATACTTGCGTTCGGGAAAGACCAGGACTAAGACGATTGATTTTCTCACAGTTATTGCAAGACATGTTCCATAGTGAAAATACGTTCTTGTTGTTACTGGGAGAACATGACAAACACAGAGGCCATCATTTATCTTGGTCTTATCTTGTAACGCGCCACACTTGGAGCATAGATATTAATCGTTCAGCTTGACAAGCAAAATAAGAGAGAAAAGTGGGAGGAAAATAGCAGCATGTATGGGTAAATGATAATCTGCTCCTCCTGTTCTCCCAGAAAGAAACACCATTAGAAGGCTTCTATATAAAAATCATCTAGAGGATGTCATTTCAGAAAACATTCTTCAAATCTGTTTGTAGTGACAATTAGGCACAGTTCTGGACAATGTTTGTCTAGTTCTCACTTTAACCTAGGTTTTAATAAAAATTAGAGCATGGGGCAACTGCAAAATTACTGATAGGGACACTGCATGTTGGTTAATGTAACGCCCCAACCCACACATTGCATGTAATACATATTTCATACAAAGGAAATACATAATATCATTCCATTTAGGTACCTTAGTACAATAATCTAACATGACCAATTACAAGGTCCAAAATTTCGAAATACATTTCTTGTACTAATTAATCAAAACAGATTTTCAAGCAGAAGCGCATAAAGGAAAATATTACACCTTCCCCTTCCCCTTACTATCCGAATCTCCTGCAACACATAGTTAAAATCACAAAACGAGGGTTAGACCGAAAGGTCTAGTGAGATACCCTATTTATGTTATTGCAGGGTGAAAATCACCAAATCTTTAGGGAAAAATATCATTTCATATATATAACAAATATATGAAATAATTAGAAACGTATTACCAGATCTTTTCCATTTAACAAGCAAAGCATTCCGCTTATTCAAATCTCAAAACTCTGAACCAATCAGGTTCCACATAATGTCACTATTAAACCTTTTCTTAACCAACAAGGTTATTTAAAGCTTCAGGCTAAACCTGACATTTTCTTCTCAATAACATCCAAACTATGATTTCCAATAAGAATCTTGATCCTAAATCTTTAAATCACAAAGAAATAAAGACTCCGGACTACGGTAGTCTTAAAGGATATAATAGAATGAGTTATATCATACAACACACATACAAATGCCACCCTTATATCCAAAGGTACACCTCTCCTTGATATGCCCCCCTTATCCCATGGT